TCTACAAGTGATGACATTGCATGAACTATCAAAACTTCAGTAACAAATTTTTTTTAATAATTTTTATTTAATCAATGAATCTATGAAAATTATCCTTCTCAAATGATCGTAATCATCTGCTCAATGTCTAAGAAAATGTTCGCGCTATTCTATTCGTCATAGTTGGTAATTGTTCATCATTCATGAAGTTTGTTTCAAGTATTGTTGTCGACTAATAATTATGTTCACGCCTTATTAACGAATAGAATGTTTAATATAGAATAATAATCATAATTGTATGTAATGATAATCAAAAATGCATTTTGGTTACAAAAATATGTCTGACTTGAGTTACTTATCTCTGATTCCATAAATTTGATCTGGTTCGACAAAAAAAAGGTCGTAGAGAACTCGAAAATGTCTCATTTTGAACAACATAGTTTTCTCTACCATTTCGTCAAAGCTTGTAGTGACCCTTCTGTGTTTTACTATCCCTTCTCTATCTAGTCCTTTTCTAACTTTCGAATGTATTGATATCAATAGTGGTTGTTATCATCGTTCTATATCACACAATAGATTCGTGTCATAATTCGTGTTTTTTTTTCAGTAGAAAAACATTTTATTTTAAGAAAATCCAAGTTTTGAGGTGTTTTCAAATTTATTGATATTGAAAATCATCTTTTTCGAAAATGCAAAAACACAAAACAAAATATTTTCTTATCGATTGAGAAGTTTTTGAAGTTCAATGAAAGACATATTTCCAAAGTTCTTTAACTTCGTGCTTACTTTCTATTTTGCAATTGTTATGCCAATGGTAACTCAATTGATCAAAAGAAACTAAAAGGTTGATCGGCATAGCGACAATTTACTCTGACACATTTCATAGAATGAAAGCTCAATAGAAAAAAATATTATTCTATAGAAGAGAACAAACTAAACATGAACGTATGTTACATTTTTGTAAAATCCTTTCATAAATTTTCTTTTCTTAAAGAGAAAATAAAATCAAAGATTCTTTTACAAATACTTTTTTGCTTCAATGGTTAGACGTAAACGTAACACGGACACACTAGAAAATTTTCTTCTTTTCGCTCCTATACTTCAAACAGTACTTGAATAGATTCTTAACTTTTTCCGAGAAACTGTCGATCGCGTACGCAAGCCTACCATTTTGAACATAGTGTACTTTTCTGAAATTCTCTATGTTCTAAAGGAACCTTTGATGTCATTGTTCTCTTTAGAACATTTCATTTCCTGAAAATCAATTTAGAGTGAGATATATTCAAACCGCATAAAATTTTCAACTCTATAGTATGACGTTGTCGAGATATATCTATCAAACAAGAGTAACAAAATAGCTCATTTGAAAACTCGAAATTCTTTATAGCTCTGCATTTTGTATATTTTATTTTCTTTTTCGTTGAAAGAGCGTGTAAAGTACCAGAATCGACAGCGTCCTTTTCTTATAATTCTCACTTTTTGTCTGGAAGAAAACTATGATTAGTTCAATACCTCAAAAACACTCTCTAGCCTCTTTTCATTACAAATTATATTCACCCTGAAAAGTTTATGTCGTTTACAGAAGGTTTGGTGTAGCAGTATGAGATTTGTTTGTTTTGGAGCGAAAAGAAGACCCACACGAACTCACTTTAAATATGTCACCTTTACATTAAAATACATAGTTTCAATGAAAACATCTCAAAATCCATTATTTTCTGACAAAATAGAACTTTTTGTGCATAAGATGATGGAAATTTTAAAAATCTTCGAGCTGAAAGTTTTGACTTTTTCCTAGGATGTAAACCGTAAGAAAAGGAAATTAATGAAAGGTCATTACAGGAATTTAACTATATTCAAAGGCATATTTTACTTCATTCACTTTGAAGATGAAGTATACAATTCTATTCAATTTGTTCTCCTTCATCGAATGATAGTTCCTCAGTTGAACTTGGATTTGATCAAAACTGAAAAAATTCAGACTCTCTATGTAACCTAAAGAAACCTCGGACTTCTCGAGTTTCTATCCATATTTTTTCAATTGTAAAGCACATCAACGTGTAGAAACATTTCTTTCGCTATTGTATAAGATATAATTCAAAATATTTTAATGTAGATTAAAGGCGCTATGAAAGATAAACCACAAGTGTTCAAATAATTTAATGAAAGTTCTTGAAAACTTACAAAAATCTTCTTGAAAGAAATTCTTTTTTGTTATAGAAGAAACTTGTGTCTTCACTCTATCAAATAGTACAATCAACATCGAGAAAATGTTTCATTTTCGTTGTGAAAGTTGCTTTACACGATAAATCTTACATGTGTCTCAATTAAGCATACAACAGTGACAGTGATCGACGCTGCACTGGTTCATATGTACACGTATAGAATAATGGTAAAGACATTCAACATATGGTAAAGCGACGATCATCTTAGGTTCATTTGAAATTTTTGGGTCTGAAGAAGTCTATTTCAAGAAAATAGATGAATTTTCTATAATATGACAATATCATGAGAACTCAGCTTTTCTCGAATAGAAGACTCGAACTTGAAAATTCCGCCAAACTTCCTAAAGATTCGGATTTCAGGACCCCATAAACCTGTAGCCTATTTTTATAAAAATCAACTATTGGATTGAAATGGTTTCCTTGATCGAAAAAAAATTGAAATCAATTCAAGATCATCGTTAGTCTATACTTACATGTTAAGACCGACGCACCGTCATTATTTGATCGTATGTAACATATTCTAAAGAAACTTGTGGTTCAAAAGAACTAGTTCTAACACTCTCAATGTACCGGATCTGAAACGACAAGAAAAACTTGTTCGAAGTGGAACTGAAAATTTTAGTCACGTTTTATTTGATATTTAGCGACTTAGGTTGTCAATCATACCAATGAAAGAAAAATTCAGAAGAGAGGACCAAACACATGACATTCGTCGGGTGAATTCATCACAATATAATTATTAAAAACTTTTTTAGATTTAATGCCAACAAATTTTAGAATAGCTTTCTCTAAACTAGGACTATAAACAGACTAGATTTAACAAGATTATGAGTGGTACTATTCACAAAAAGAAGTTACCAGAACTGAAAAAAAAGCATAGCATAGCAGTTTTCTGAATACGAGATTGTTCAATAAAATCCTACCCATTGTGCATATTTATTCGAATTATTTATGGTGAATATTACATCAAATGGCTTACCTGCTGCTCCTGTCCAGTTCGAATCACAAGCTGAGTAGACGTCAATAAAACAAATTTAAACGTTTGAAACCATAATATGAGTCAGCAGATGTAAAAAAAAAAGGAAATTTTTTTTCCTTCAGAAAACTTGATTTTCGTCAAAAAAATGATCTTTGAGATAACTATATGAACATATTGCCTGAATTGCCTGCTGTACGAATTTATAAAAATAGCTTTGATTTTCGAAGGTTATTAAGACTTTTATGAATAATCTTTGAAACTATCTGAACAAACAATGATGTCTAGAGCAATCAGTAAAATTTGTTGGCAGAGTTAGGTCTGCAAAATAAACAAATATTTTCAGAGATAATCAGATCTTGCCCATTTTAGAGACACACTTTTCAGATGAACAATGACATGAGGATGGAAATCTTCTCTTTATCCGCATCTACAAGCAAATTAAAATAATTAATTTATTATTCTGCTATCTTTATGATATTGTTGATTGATATATATGCAATATTAGAGGCAATAATAGATAGCACCATCTATCGTAATCTACACCCTACAAGGGTAATATAATGTATCTACACAATTGTTTCCATTGATATGTAATATATTTATGCTTCACCGCTATTTGAAGTAATAATAGCAAGTCTGTGTGAACAACAAAAAGTTCTTCTTGCGTTTTTCTCCGAATTGATTTTTTCGTTAATGATCGAACTGTGGACTAGTTTTTCCCAATATATTACCTTCTGGAATGTTGCTTTGTCGTTTTTATTGACAAAGATATTTCGTGCATAGTGCTTCAGATAAAGCAAATGAATTTTCTAGTTAATCATCAATACTAGGTAAACCTTGAGGTTTGAAGAAAATCATGCCTATAATTTCAAGATTTTTCAATTTTTCATGAGCAGAAAAACAAAATAGAGTAAAAATTTCAAAAAAATCCTTCCCTCATCCGAACTGGTAAGTAGTTCCCTTTTCAACGAAAGTAATTCGAGCTCTGCAGCTTAGTTCACCGAAATATCTTGAACGACAAAGCATAGATGCGTCAAGTTTTTTTTTATTATTAAAATAGTTTCATGAGTTAAATATTTATGGAAGGTTACATCAATATCTCATATACTCTGTCAAAGTTAGATTTTCTAAGAAAAGGTGCCCTTACAAACTGAATGGTCACACAACAGCCATTATCACAAAGGATTGTTAGTATAAAATGAAAGTAAGTTTGTTCTAAGGTCAAACATCGATTGGTTCATTATTGGAACATACGGTTGATTTTTCTGCTGGATAACCTTTATTGAAACTTTCTAAAAACAAAGTAGTTGTTTGCTTTCAACAATTAAAGCAATATGAGTTTATTAAATTTGTAAAGATACATTCATCAACCATAATCGATTAAAATTGCATTCCATAAACCTTCATAGAATAAAAAATTCTTTTTTTTTTCATCTAGATGACGCTAATATCATTGACATTAATAGAGCGACATATTTAAATAAAAGAATTTCTTTCCAATAATTTTTTTTTTCTTTTTTACTTTTAGAGAATCTTAAATATATTTACAAATGAATAATATATGTTATATAGAGTGTTAAATAGTTGTTAATATCCAATAAAAATGATAAAGAAATAAGTGACTGATGATGCCTTGGTAGTTCTTCGTCTTTTCATCACTATCATTTGATATGGCAAACATATTCTTGTATGTTTATTTATTTTATATCGTTCTCTAAATAACGATTAAATCTGTTAAATATGTTTTGATTATCATAATAATATATTTCTGCTTTCTTTCAGATGACTAAACTTTATTTTAGTGATGATTAATTTCAAAAATGGATCAAGAACGGTAAAATAAAAAAAAAAAATCAATTCAGTTTTTTATTCTAAAATTTTCAATTATGTTTATAAATGTTGTTTTGTGTATAGTGTGTTTTCGTATTTGATTGATTCCGATTTACCTAATGGTTTGTGTTAGATTTTTTTTTGTTCTTACGTTTTACCTTTTGATTATTGTTTCCTTCTTTTATTTTGTAGGACTTGAACAAAGAAATGTTATTATTCAAAGAGATCGTTATGGATATGGTCTAACAGTTTCAGGCGATAATCCTGTTTTTGTATTAAGTGTACGAGAAGGTGGTGCTGCTCATCGAGCTGGAATTAATACGAATGATCAAATAATAAAGGTAAAATGATGAAAAATATTGATGATTGTTATTATTATTTGAATCCATAGAAAAAGCTTTGTTGAAGTTTCATAATTGAATCTAATTTGATAGTTGTAAATAGTAACACATGTTGCTTTACTAAAAGGAATAATGCTCAAAAATGAATAATTGTCTTTGCCAGATACATTAAAAAGATGATAGAATTATGTTTTTTTGTTGGCTTATGAATTGTTGAACATCCATTAAACATTTTTGATTTAATTATTCTTCATTCATAGTGTTTCTTTTCTTGAAAATAAACAGATCAAGATTATAACAAAGAAATATGATGATCATGATTACCTTCATAAATGTTTTCTTTTTAATTTTTGCATTTATGCACGTTCTTTTCATTCACTGATATTAATATCAACATACTCGAATTTTTTTCAATAGAATTAGCATATTATTTTGAAGAACAATATTCAACATTGATTGGATTAATTTTATCATAGAACTAAATGTCATTGTTTGTCGTTCTTTTTTTCTAACATTTAGTAAAAATTATGGAGATAATTTGCTCGAACAAACAAGTGTTTGATTAATGACTTAAAAGAAAACAGTCGATGAATAGTTTTGTACAAAATGAGTTGTGTTTTGTTTGCTTACCAAATCGTTCCGGATGACTACAAGTAGAAAATAATGCACCTGTTTTATATAGAATAAATTGGACACATGTTATCTATTTTTTCATGCATCATGTATTTTGATTGATTCATTTATCGAATAAAAGTCAAAAGGAATGTATATACATACATACATGTAAAAATATAATCCACTTCTTTTGATAATAGAAAAATAGTTAAATAGCAAAGAATGTTATTTCAATATTGAAATCATGATACATCAATTTCATGAACAAAAAATCATATACTTAATTTTATAAACGATTGTAAAATGAATTTGTTTTTGTTTTTTGAATTAAATAAAAGATTCAATATTAAAATTAATACAAAAGAAAACTCTTCTAACTTTTTTAAGATATGAAAATTTTATTTTTATTTTTTTCAACTTTCTTTCAGGTCAATGGTACGCGTGTAACGCATTGTACACATATTGATGTAGTCAATCTTATCAAATGTAAGTTTGTTTGTATTTTTTTTTTATAAATAAGAAAAACAGAGTAGTTGTAGAAATCGGTTCTTTTTTTTTCTGAGAATTTGAAGCTTCGTATATATGAATGCTTTAATAAAGAACACATAAAATATATACGCTTGATCAGTTAGTGGTCAATCAATCTTTGTCTTGAATGATTTTTCAATGTGTTGATAACATTGCATTATATATTGCCAGATGAATTATTTATTTTTCTCTTTGACCTTGATGAATCAGATGTTATTGACATGGACTAAAAGGTTTCTATGTTAATTAACTAATTATATATCTTCCATTAAGTTAATTTTTCATCGATTTAATAAGGACATACTTATTAGTTTTCTTTTATTAAACTAATATATATATATATATATATTTATTAAGACCTTTCAAAAGAAAGAAAAAATAAGATACTATATATCAAGTTTTTGTTAGTTTTTTCCAACTGTTTATATTTTCTGTCTTAATTGAGAAAAAATACTCAAATCAATTTTTTTCCATGCATACTATACTTATATACATGCATAAATCAATCCGAGAAATTCTTCTTCTACTCTGTTTGTATATATATATATATCAAATGGGAGGAGAGAGCCTTGATGGTATGTTTCTTCCTTTCTCGTTTGGCATCGTCATTATAGATAATTTCTTTTGTTAGACATACGAACCATATGCTCCGGCAATGTTTTTGTGTATTGAAGATTAATAATTTATCATTCTGAAGATAACATACTGATATATTGTGCCAAAAAAGAAAAAAGCTACCTTCGAGCAGAATGATGCCTTAATATTGAACATCATTCCTACGTCTTATTCGGTACATCACGAAGCAATTGATTGAAAAAAATATTCAATCATTTGTTTCAAAGCGTTTTAGATTTCTTTTTTTTGAGATTAAAAGTAAAGTAAAATGTCCACTACACTATCGGTACGTATACCAGCGGGTAAATTAGGCACAGTTCGTGTTGATCGAACAGTCGATATCTATCCAACTTCACTAATAAATGATGAAAATATATCGTATGCAAAATCATATATTCCAAAATTAAAATCACAACGTCAATTAACAGCAACATCAACGCCATTGATTATTACAAATCCTCAAGATGAATGTAGTTATATTCCAATAATAAAATCAAATAATCAGAGTGATCCTAATGATGAAGATATATCTGATATAGCTGTTATTTATTCACTTGTTCGACGTTCATCAATACGTCGAACATCATCACCAAGATTATCTGTTTTACCATTATCAGTAAATTTTAATATTTCTCGACCATATATAGCTAAAACTTATACATTAGAACCACCATTAACTCCTACTGTATCTCATGTATCGAAACAAGCACAAATAAAAACATTATCATCAAAACTTTCGACTAGTAATTTTCTTTCAATATCTACATCATCTTCGACAGAAGTAAGTTCATCAACTCGTATTCAAACATCAACATCATTTACAAGAAGTGATCGACCATTAGCACCATCAGTTTCTATAAAACCTCGACCATATTCATTTCGAAATACAGGGCGTAGTGCTCTTGAACGACAAATATCAAATATAACAGAACGTGTAGCACAATTGCAAGAAACATTTTTTTCTCGTCGATCGAATACATCTAATCATCAACGAAATCGTTCATTATCAAATTTTCAATCAACAATAATTAGTACAAATATACATGAATATAATAGATCACATATACGTTTGATCAGACCACGACCGAAATCAGAAACTTATGATAATCATCGTCGTATTAATTCAGGTAAAAAATATCGTGCATCACAATGATCATCATATTATAAAATATAATTATATCCTATAAATACTTATCTTAATTGTATTGAATTGATAGACAAAGAAAAGATTGTATAACATATGGAGAAACAAAAAGGCAAAAAAAGATGAGTAGACATATTTTTACTGTCTTAGACATATTGTGCCACTGAATACATGTATTCTTGTTTTGCTACCACTTTGGCATTCAAGATATTAATTTTTCTGTTCCGCTGTTAGCTTTCCGTCTATTATCGTTAGTATGTTGATGGATGTCTAGAAAAAAAAAGGATTTCTTTACATACATTAGATATCCATTAATCTTTGTCAATTGACTATTTTTTTTCCTTTCAAAAAAAAAAACGATAAATTTTATCTTAAAAATCAAAATTCTTTATTTAGCTGGTTCGTATGCTCAATTAACTCTTCTTGGACAACCAAAAGTAAATTCAATATCACAAACACAGAAAACAATTCCAGTTGATTATCAAAATGGTCGTGTACAATATCGAACACAAACTTCAAATCCTGAAAGACCACATAGTACAATTAGTTCAAACTCATTACAAACAGTATTTGATACAAAAAGAACACGTGATAGTTATGAAAAACTCCTGAAACAATTAGAAGTATTAATGTGTTTTTATAAATTTTATTTCTAAGATATAATATTTTTTTATTCTCAAGATCTCAAGAAAAGAACTTGATCGTCAACGATCAAAGGGTCTTAATCATCATCCGGCAAGAATTTTACAACTTGAAAGTCAAATAAAACAATATGAACAACAATTAAACAAATTTAAACCTTATTTAGATTCCATTGACGTAAGAAAAATTCTTTTCTTTAAACATGAAATATTTAAATTTAATTTAGGTATTCACCGATCCATCATCAAATATATATGATGATAATGTTATTACTCGACCACAGACATTCATTGAATCATCTACAAATCGACTAAGCACAGTAAGTAAACAAAAAAAAAAAAATAGAATAACAAACCAAAAAATTAAATTAAATTAAAAATTTATCTTCGAAAGTCATTGCTCTCCTTACCTCCACATATATTTCTCTAGCAATCTCATGGCAATAGTGGTCACAAGAAACAGAATTCATTACCTGAATCAGCAGTATTACAAGTTATGACAGGCATTTCGCCTTCAACTTCTGTCAGTTCGCCATTACATCATATTAAACGTAAATTTCATGGTGGAAAAACGGACGCATATGACCTTGTAAAGGTAAAAAGATCAATAATTTGGGCATACACAAAAACTATTATACACTGATCCTCCTTGTTTATAAATAGAAATGCACAGAATTTGTTCTTGCGTAGTTCTAATGTACAATCGCTTTTTTTATGACTCACACACGCGTACATTCTACTTCTACTGCTAATAATTATTTCTTTTTATCATTTCTATTCCTTTGAAATTCATTTATGATTTTTCTTTTTTATTTAGAATTGGGATTCGTTGAATAGTATTCCAACAGATGAAACATTTAAACTTCGTGTATGTATTCATGAATGACTCAAAAAGAATGATATAAGTCCAATGCTATAAAAATAATACTTTCATCATCGTGATGCTTTCAACATTTTTCTACTTGACTAGCCTAGATTAGCAAAGATTTAAAAATATGAAATATAAACGAAAGGATAAACTGTGATTTAAGATAAAATGTGAGTTGCTTGTCAGTAAAACATCTTGAACAGTTTTAATAGCTCAATAATGATATCCAATGAATCTAAGGCAATAATGTAAATTCAATTACTCTTTGATATGAATGACAAATTTTCGAAAATCTCTAGATGAAATATAAATTTAATTCGGTATAAAGATATTAGAGAGAACGGTATAATGAAAAAGCTTCAATGATTGCACTAAGACATTCACAAGTTCAAGATCTTATCATGTACTACTATTCATATATATATATACGTATTAGTTGAAAACAACATTGAACTCGACTATTAAACGACATTAGTTACTCGAAGTGATTTTTTTGTTGCTGCCACAGAAAATCTCCACACTCATATGAGTTAGATTAGTCTTATTAAGATTTGTACATGAGAGTAATACCGTGTTAAAAGCGAGCTTTTACCGAGGAGATTTTCTCATTAAGGTTTGAAGTAGGACAGACATTGACAGGAAGAAGAAAAAAACATAATTGATGGATGATGCAAGGGTAAATATAACTAGATCTGATAATGGACTCATATTTGTCCTTATAGAAATCAATTAAAGCTAAACATCCAAATATAGAAATAGTACAGTTCTTAGCTTCGGTTGGGCTCTTAGCTAAATTGATGTAATTTAGATGAGAATCTAGATATGTAGAGCAAGAAAAGTAAACTAACGTGAGAATTACTATAACTAACACTTGTTATTTGAACTGATGCTGAGTCTACAAAGTGGTCTCAGCAAGACTAGATAAAAACCTAAAAGGATTCATTTTCATGGGCTTTTTGAGCCTAATTATGGCTACTCTAATGAGTTTTCAACATATTTTTCGAGGTATTTATTAGTAAATCAAATGACTAGAGTTCGGTCTAAAACATGTCCATAGATATGTCTGATGACCTTAAGGATGTCCTGAAAGTTTCAGCTTAAAAAAATGTTCTTTCGTTGAAACATTGAATTTTCAAAAATTAGTCATTTGCGATAGATACATCAAAAAAATGTAATTTACTTGAAAATGTAATATTTCAATAAAGGAACATTCTTTTCGACTACAACTTTCAGAATATTCTGAGAATCATTATACCTAACAATGTACATAATTTCCACTCAAAAATTTTCTATTTCTTTTTTCCATTAAATATGTGAAAATTGAGTTAAACAATGACCTAATATAGCCATAACTCGACTCCAAAAGCTCATGGAGATGAACCCTTTTGAGGCTTTCTTCATTTTCTATAATATGAGCCCTCAAATTTTTGTTTGTGTCTTGACAGATGCATGTTTCAGGCAGTACATTCTATATCCAGGTTTCATAGATGAACTGTGATGACAAGTTGTCTAAAAAAAACTAGACACACTAGTCATTTTCTTTAATCTTCTCTTAAAAAGTTAAAAGTATCACAAAGATCGGAAAAGGGCATTTTTTAATCGATTCTTTCGTAAATGTCGGTTTTGTTTTGTGATACTTTTAACTTTTTGAGGGAAGGTCGGACCTGAGAACTACTGTATCGAATCTTTTAGAAATGTTGTCATCATAGTTCATCTATAAAATTGTAGTCAAAGAAAACTCTATTATCCATAAAAAGTCACTATCTATGTTTGAGCTAACAACTAAATATTGTAGAAAAAAAAAAGTCGAAAATATTTTGTTGTTCAACTTTTTCCGGTCATCCTACGTAGTTTGATTGTCCAGTGTTGGGTTTTGAAAAAGACAGACATTTTCTTCAATTTTATTAAAGTTTTGAAAAAAAATCGAACCTAAGTCCATTTCTGTTCACTAGTTCTTACTTTGTATACTCTAGATGACTTTCTAAGTAAATTCTTAAAAATGATCACAATATTGTTAGATCATTCATTAGCTATTCTTTGTTCTTTTTAGGAATCATATGAAATCGATGATGATAATTCTTATACACTATCATCAAATGTTCAATCAATATCATCATTTGATGATATTCAACAATCAATAAACACATCAAATTGGATACCATTAACTATTTTCCTTAATTTTCTACTCAATGATACAAACAGTGATCCAAGTCATTTAGTAATTATTTTATTTCTTTTTTGACGTAATGACAATTTTATTTAATACTTTTAGTTATTTTACATAATAACTGAAGATTTACGTATAAGAAAATATGATAATCGTAATGAATTAATTCGATGGATATTTGAAATTCATTCAACATTTACAATGAATGCTAGTGTAAATTATCTATTCACAATCCTAAATAAAATCTTGTATTGGTATCTTTTATTTTTTTTATAGCCTTTATATATTGGCCTTCCTCAATCACAAACAGACGCTATTAATCGATGGTTAGATATTCATCAACAAGAAACAACTGAGGATGTAAAAAATATTTTTAATGATGCAAGAGATCATGCAAAATCAATAATAACTGATCGACAAATAATAGATTTTAATCATAAACGAAATATTAATATAAATAATGATTTAAATTTAAAACAAAGTCATTTTATTGAAGAAAATTTACGATCAACATTTGAATATCATTATAAATCATCATATATTGATGATTGGAACAGTATAAAAAATGCTCGTAGTATTGCATTAATATGTGCATTAGCAACATATTTGAAACGTTGTGATATTAAAAAATGTGGAAACATTCCATTAGAAAAAATTCCGAAATTTCTCGATAAAGAACAAAAACGTTTATTAGCAAAATTACAACGAACAACACCTATTAAAAAAGTATTTATTAAAATTAAATTGAACGTAAACCAAAAAGAAAAAGCTAAAAAACTTTCGTTTTTAGATTAAAGATCATCAATTAAATGAACATCAATTTTTAAATGAAACATTATGTCAAGTTTGTTTTAAACCATTATGGGGAATAAATTATCAAGGATATTTATGTGGATGTAGGAATTTCTTTTAGAAATAAAATTACGATTTATTTATTTTTCGTTGTGCTATTTCCAAATTTTAGATTGTCAACAAGCATATCATCGTGAATGTGCAGTAAATAGCGAAAAGTGTTCAAAAGATCGAGCAAAATTTCGAAAGTTTTCAAGTAATCGAAATCCATCAAGTAAGTTATTTCATTTTTATTTTGGTTCTTTTTTTGTTTCTTTTACTACGAGATTTTGTTACAGTTGCCTTATATTATTCACTATCAGGATCAGTTTCAGCTGATAATCTTATGCAAAATTTATCTATTATACCTAATTCATCAACACAATCTCGAGGTTTTGTTCGACGTTCTGTTGGTGGAAGTAGTACTCTATTTCATGGAATTATGACGAATATAAACGGTACTTTATCAATGAATCTAATTTATGTTTTGTTATATAGGATAATTAATAAAACACATGTAGAATCTTTCGTTTGCTTTTTATTTTGTCTGTCTATCTGTTCTGTGTGATTTTACCACGTCACTCTATATATATACATTTATAATGTTGAAAACAAGTTAATTCATTATTTTGTTGTATTTATTAGGTCCACCTAGAACTACAAGTATGATTGAAGCACGAGAAGGTAGTGTTTGTAAGTATTAATTTAATTGAAAGTTATTTCTATATACTGTATATTATACATTGATGGTTATAGCGAATGATATATCTGAAATGATACCCGGTACAAATGAAGGAATTGGTAAGTCGTTTGTAAAACGCGAAATATTATTCAATAAAATCCGAATGCAAAGAAAGTTTTCAATTTGAATGAAACATTCTGATGTTCAGATCTATAACAATATAAACAGATTTATCCTTATATTCTATCTGTTAGAGTGAATCATTAGAAGAAAAAACAAGACAGATGTTAAGTGCAATACTGTCAGATCTCGATTTCATGTTTATTTGTAGTGTATGACAACGATCATAGAAGAATATCTGTCAGAAAGCAATACTAACAAACACAGAACATCTTTAGCAGAAAAGAAAATACAAAGAGAACTCTAACGATCGTGTATGAATGAAGAAGGTAAAAATTATAACAGATAACATCTTTCTGTCATTATAAATTTTCCAAACGTATTATTAGATCGTTTTATTTATAAGTACAATCTGCTGCTGATGACATTTAAAAAATGATTTGCTTGATTCGAATGACATAAAATGTTTTTCAATGATTTACAAAAAATTTTTTATTGTGAATTTCTCAACGCAATTTTTGTTGATTACTTTTTTTTAATGGAACACGATCTAAAAAGGGGGTGTTGAAGTTTAGAAGTAGAAGTTTAGACCCACCACCCCCTCATAGTTCGTAATAGACATTGTTGCTATAATGATCACAGGCCGTATATCAATAACTTCTCTTTATAATAATTATATGAGCTACGTCCTTATTACTTTTCTGGAGAAGGATGGTAAAGAACTATGCCTCAAAATAGATAGAATCAAACAATCTTCCTGTCATTAGTAGCAACAGTTACATCGTGTTTCATATTTTAATCTCGCAGGAATAGCTATAACAGCTTCTTTTCGATAGGAAAAAGAAAAGACTCGTTGAGAACTTTTTATTCTTTATAGATCCAACAGATGGAAATTCATCGTTTGCTGAACAAAATAAAGTTGCAACGTAAATCATAGCAATGAAATAAATTAGAAGAAGAATAATTATATATATTTTTTTTTATTTGAATAGTGTCGGTCGATGTTCTAGTGATCGTCGAGCAGCATCTGATCGACCAACTGCACCGAAAAATCGTTCAAGCAGGTATATATATAAATTCATAAAATTTTTTTTTCAACAATTCGAATCGAATTTATTTCAGTGAAAGCGACGATATTGATGAGGGGTATTGGATTTTATTTAATAATTTTTCTGATCCCACCTGCTATTTTTTATATGCATGATATATCAACTAAGAGAAATAGAGAAAGAGAAACAGGTGACATTGGTCATTACATTATTTACATTTTTCTAAACCCATAAATAATTAGTTTGTAACGTGTCTCAGAATTAAACCTCTAATCTCTATGTTTAATGGTCAGTTAATTTACGCTTTCTTTCTTTTTGTTTTTACTACTCTTTATTAAAAAAATTTGCTTGTTTTTTAAATATTATTGATAAAATTTAAAGGTTTTAATTAGCTTTCTCTTTTTTTAGCAATCCACAAATGGGTGGAAATACAATTGATGAAATACTTAGTCATCGTATTGATAGTGATGTTATTAATCAACAGGATGCCACAAGTCAACAGTAAGAAATTTATTTATAATAAATTATTGATAATCGATATAGAATTCAATAACATGTTTTGGAAAAACTGATGTTTTTTTTTTCGATAGAATGCTTTTTGCATGAACTAACCAAGAAATTTCACCAAGTCATCACTTATTTTTAAAATGAGTTATATCTTGTTACATAGACTGTACTAACGAGGGAAACCTCCCAAATGATTAATCACTTTTTAGTCGAGACTATTTTCATCATGTACATTCTAGTGGCTATAAAGACTCAAAGAAGAATTCGGGTTCTTAGCGTATTACTGCCGAGATATTTCATTTTTTTACCGTATTTTTGCAGTCAAGGCCGTATCAGAATAGTTTATTGTGAAATTTTCAACTCATTTCGTTGTTTCTATCCAAAGATACAGTTATAATCAAAGCCTGTCTTTTACTCTACTCATATATACCGTGCAGATATGATGTTCTTGTTTCGGCAAATAAGCAAATCAAACGATCTAAGACTTTCACAATGAATTTTTCTCGCTAAGATATGTCTATATGCAAAGTTTCAAATCTGGAGTCGAAAATTAATTTTTCTAGTGTGTTCCTAAGAGTACCTCAACATTGATTTAACTACGGTCTACTTGATTCACATACTCTCAAGTTCAAGGCAAATGTATGATCAATTTAATAAGGCTTAAAAGAAAATATCAGTTTTCCCTTTGAGATGATCTTTAAAATCAACTTGCGAATTCAAATTTTGCACATGAAATTACTTCACTCTAAAAGTATCTGATTTTCCAGTATCTTCGATCTTCCATTACCAATATTGGAAATTCTAGTATGCAGAATTAAAACTTTGTTCTTTTACTTACATCTGAGGATATAGGATACTAGAAAGTTCGATACTTTTACGATGAATGAGTCTGATATGCGAAGTTTGAATTGATAAGTCGATTTTGATGAAAGTCGCAAGAGGAACACAGTATTTTGTTTTAAAATCCATTGTAATATTATGGATTGCAGTGTTTGTTAGAATCCTAGCAAAAGAGTCATTCAAACAAAAACGTCTCTCACATAGTTTCTTACAACGCTGCGATACATCTCACAGTCATAATTCAAGAAACAAATTCATGAAAATGAGTCTTTATAGACCTTCTCAGATTTTAATCGCGCCTAGCTAATAAGATAAGACTCGCCTCAAAATGGATCTATCTGTATTAGTTTTCTTATATTTGACTCTAATTCTAAGCGAAAGTGAGGTAATTTCTTCTCATATATTGATAGAACTATTCTATGTTCACTCGATTTCATTTATATTCTGACATTCAATTGATTGATATGAATAAAAAATTTCTCTGAAATTTATTTATAGAACCAATTCTATTGGATTTAGTACAAGTCCTTCTGAATCAGTAATTCAACAAACAACAGATGGTGATAGTGATCTTGAAGCTGATGTAAATACTTTACCAAATTTAAGTGAATTTATTCCGAATGATATCCTTCAAATTCTATATCAAACCCGAGAATGGAAATTTCAAACAACAATTAATGAATTAATTCATACTCAACGTACACATTTAAAAAGTTTAAAAATTATGGTTAAATGTTTTCGTGAACCTATGGAACGTTTTCATGGTATGAGTCCAGTTGAACTTGATTGTATATTTCGAAATTTAGATCAACTTATTCATTTACATAGTAAGAATAAATTTATTTTTTATTTATCAATGAAAAACAACTATGTTAATTTTAGCTCAATTTAAATATGCACTTCGTCAACATCGTGAAGAAGCTAAAGATCATGTTGTACGATATATTGGTGACTTAATTCTTAAATTTGTATGAAATTCTTGATTTTTTTTTTTATTACATAAAAAATATATTTTATTTCTGGTTTAGCTTGATGGTGATAAAGGTGAAGAATTTGCTCGTGCTTGTGCATATTTTATTGAAGATCAATCACAAGCATTAAAATTAATTAAAAAAAAAGAACAATCACCAGATTTTGCAGCACTTATGCGAGTACGTTTTAATTTTTATTCAAAAGAGAAAAAAAAAAGATATTTGAATGAGAATTTTTCTTTCTGTTTTTTTGAAAGATGTGTGAGTCTAATCCATTATGTCGTCGTTTAACATTAAAAGATTATTTACCATCTGTTATGACACGTTTTACCAAATATAAAATGTTATTTGAAGCAATGAAAAAATTTGCCTCAGAAGATCGTATCGAATCAGAAAAATTAACTCGATGTATTGAATGTGCTGATAAAATATTAAAACGTATGAATGAAGCACGTTTAAAAAAAGAACAAGAAGCATTATTAAAACAAATTAAATCAAATCTTGATATACAAATACCAAATGATGAAAAATTACAAAATCTTCAAGTAAAAATAGAAAAAGAATGCCTTTTTTTTTTTTAAATTTCTTCTTTTTTTCCTTTTCGTTAGGATTGTCTTGAACCAGCCAACAATCGTTTAATTTATTCCGGTACATTAAAATTATTACCTGATGCAACAACACAAAAAGCGGAATTTGAATGTTGTCTTTTTAATGATATATTTGTTTTTTTTCAAAAAATTCCTATACAATCATTAGAACAACGCGGCATCGAAGAAACATATAAATATGTTTTAAAAGAACATCAACGTGATGCTACTAGTGGACGTAATCAACGACCACGTACAGCTGTTAATCCTAATAAATATCCAAGTGGACAAAATTTTATTTTAACACCTATTATACGACTTGAACATTTATTAATTAAGAAAAAAGCATGTGGAGGTAATTAAAAAAAAAGATTATTTAGTAACTCTTCCCAAGAATAGCAGGTTATTCCATTAGAAGAATTTTACAAAGCGTTTTACAAGACTAAAGTTTTGTTCAAAATCCTTTTCCTGAAGTTCAGCGAGTTTGGAAAGTTGTATCATCTAAAACCATGATTCTGTGACACTTAGTTGCTAATATCATCTATTTAAATAGCAGAGAAGTTTTTCGAAAAAAACTTTGATTTTCTACGTAAATGTTAGCAAAATATTAACTCTTAATAGAAGATTATCATTGAAAGAGCGATGTGAATTTTCATAATAGAATCCTACTAGTCACTGAGATGATCATTTGTAGATTAATTACAAAAACTAAACAATGTATAGAATTCCAAAGCTTCAGAAATATATTGTGTAGAAAAATTCATGAGTGATTTGATTGGTAAAAAAGAACATTGTATTTTCGAAATATCAGGTTTATAAAATCGATTGTTTAAAAGAAAAATGAAAAAGAAAAAATATTCTCTATCTTGAAGTAGTAGAAATCTGTAGTGTCTTGTTGTGTGGTATAGATTACTAAAGAGATCTATTTGTAATTAATATAAGTTACTGGACTTATTACAGAAAATAAAATGCACAATGTGCTGTATTACTATTATAGAACAGACAGGAGATGATCAACAATAAAGTTAATGTATGCATTGTGAACTTCATCATATGAGAAATTGAAATAATACTTAATATGAATAGAATATCTTTAGTAGTTAGAAAAATATGTGTCAAAAATACATGTCTTATTTCAAGACTAGTTTCTTTTTATGCATTCACTCTTTCCATTCTGTCTTGCACAAGCATCATGAGATATAAGCTACTTTTGTCCATGCAGCACTGTCATGAAAGACAAAAAAAAAATCAGAGCTTCTTATGTTGTTCAATCTCTCTTTTCTATAACATGATCATGGGAATAATCAATATGAATCTGCATCAAGAGCGAGACATCTAGTGCATGTGACTACACCATTGGTATATTAGAGAGAATGATACTTTATTTATAAGATTATTCGATCCATAGTACTTCTGGAACCTTGTGAGGGATAAAAGTTTAATCAAATATTTAACAAAGAACATTTATATGCATATGATCAGATTTCTGTCTGATACTGCCTCATCTTAAAAGAAATTATAAAATAAATGTGGAAATCTCGGATTTATATCCGAGAGTTATGTGTACTTCAAAAAGTGAATGAGACAAATCGGTCATCCTAGAATGTCTGGATATAAAAATTTGCGTGGCAAACCTTTTCTATAAACCCTTGAGTTCCATTGCCTACTGTTCAACCGTAGGACTTAGGAGCGTATAGACCTCAAATTTCACCTATTCGGCTTTATTTAGCCTGAGAAAGTCGTTTTTCCTATAACATGATTTCTATTGGTCAATACTCAATCAACGGGGCTTCGAGCCAAGTTTAGTGCAGATTCTAGTTCTCCGCCCCAGAAAACCTTCGATTATCATCTCTATGGTCGACAGATAGACCTCTAATTGGTGATCAATTAGAGCGTGCACAAAAACAGAACCTATTCTTCCCTATTTATCTTTGCGATGGGTGAGATAATCTTCCTGTTTCCTCATGTTTTATATATCATTTTGTAGCTCTTGAAATTCTCTATCGAATGGTATATAATAGTTGGGGTTTTAATTGACTATGATAGGAAAAGTCTTTTACGAAAGCGGCGATGGGTCGATTTTTCCATAGGAAGCTATAGAGAAAAAATGGGTATTTTTGCAATAACTCAGGAACGGCTCAGCCGATCCTTCTCATCTTCGAACTCGGCCGAGATATTGTAAAAATTGAACTGTATAGAAAATTTCATCGTGATCGGACTCTCCTTTCGAAAGTTATCGTGTAAACGGCCTGACGGCCGGACATACTGACCGATTCTAGAGTGTACTCACTTTTTGAATACACAAAAAGAACATGATCCGGGATAGTGATTTATACAGATATTAACCTATGGATAAATATTCTTTGATTAATTATACCAAGTATTATTTTTCATGGTTCCTTAACCAGACATATAGGAAATTCCCTGATATTTTTGATATGATTTTAAAATGCATCGTTCTTGTATACATTAAAAGCTAATTTTTTAGAACTTTATGCACTAATTCAATAGAAAATTATAACAAAGCTTAACGCATTCACGGCGATGGGTCCCACGATATTTTAACAAGAAACTGAATAGAAAAAAATACTTTTTTCCCTTTTTTTGTTAGGTAGTAGGTGGATGTATATTGTGGGTATGGATGTGGATGAAGGTGTGCGTGTGAGGTGTGGCTGTTTACTCTTCTGGGCTCAACACCTACATCCGCATTAGCGATTAATTTTATAATGATTTTAAAACACTTGAAGCATTCTTTATAGTCTAGACTGATTTTCATCAATCGTTAGAGTTTTCTAAGGTGTTCGAGAACGGATAGCTTCAATCTAGATTTTATTATCAAGTTTTTTTTTTCTAGCAAACTGTGTCTCTTGTAAATAATTTAACAGGAAAGTTTCCATTATTCCTACGTAAATATATCATTACACTAGTGTAATTTTGAATGAACATAAATTAAACTCGAAAGACAAATATTCCTTAATAAAAATCTTCGTAGCAAACTCTCAAATCCTTCGTAGTGCTTGTAGAAAACATTTTATCGTTGAAGAAAGTTAAAAAGATTCCTTCTATATATTCATCAGAAGAAAATTCTTTTATTAAACGTATTTTTGCAGAGGAAGTAGCTTTTATTATGCATTCATTTGCAAGTGTAGTCCATTAACTCGAACACAAAGTGCATTAGTGATTTACTCTAAAAAGCAGTTAGCATAAGAGTTAACGATTTCTAAATTACTTGCTTGTTTGTATTGCCTTCGAAATGGTGTCAGTTTCGATATTCATAAATAATCACTAACGTTTTAAACACAAATATATGATTGTTGTATAAATTAATTTTCTCTTTTTTTTATCTATTGTCATGTTGTACAAGGATTTGTCTCGACAATATATTGTTTCTTTTTTTTTCTAATTTTAGGTGCTCGTTCTTTTTATGTCATTGATACAGATAAAAAACAATTAATTGAAGTCGAAGCTAATTCAAAAGATGATCTTGAAAAGTATTTAATTTTATTTGTTTTTCTCTATGTAATTTTATTTTCCTGCTTTCAATTTAGATGGTTAGAATGGATTGAAAAGGCTCGACAACCATTTGAAAAAGCAAAATCTTTTCCATATTCTTCAAAAGAAAAGAGTCTACATTCATCTTCATCAACATTAACAATTCAGTAAAACAAAAGAATAAATCGTTTTGTTATTATTCTTAAATTTTACTTTATTATTTGATATAGATCAACGATTAGTGAAGAACAACCAAATATTCAAACAATTGAATCAAATGAAAAAGATACACCGGAATCTATATTCAATTCAATAATGACAACTGATACAGAAATAAAACGTTTATTACATGAAAAACAAATGCTTCTATCACGTCTTCTGAACATTCCTCAAGATACATCAAGTTTTTCTTTACATACTATGAAACCAAATACATCATTAGAAGCAGTTACATATGCAACTAGTTATCGTAAATATTTCATAAATAATCATTCTATGATTTTATTTATTTATTTATTTAGATAATCAATTAATGCAAATAATTAATCAAATACCTAATGAAATAGATAAAACTATTGACATACAATCTATTTCAACACCTTTAATCAAACTTGGCGAACAATTGACATTAACTTTAGTATATAGAAAAAAAAACAAATTCTGAATTGTTATGTGTATTATTATTTATTTTCATTTCAGAAATTGTTAAGTCAAGATTCAAAGAAAACAGATAATGAAAATTTAGTATATCGAAGAAATAGTAGTTCATTTAATGCAACACCATCAAGTATATAAATATTAATAAACAAAAAAAAAGAAACAATTTTTAAAATTAAATAATTTCTCTATTTTTAGTGAATACTGATTCATCTCAAACATATTCTGATTTATCAATATCATCTCTTCATTCATCAAAATCACTTGGTTCAGTAGTCAATTCGTATCAACAACAACAACCACAACAACAGCAATCATCAATTACTGATTTAGATGAAGCAGTTAAATCAACACCATTAAAAGAATTACAAGTTGCTCGAGATATTGTTGAACGTTATGATGAAGGAGTATTTGATGATGGTGCTGGAAGTCAAACTGAAGAAGATGAAAATAACAGTGTAGTTATTGCTGATAGTGATGATGAAGATGAAATTGAACATTTTGATTCAACCGATTGTATTATGACAAATATTGATAATAATCAACAACAAGTAAATAATGATTATTTGGTATGTTCTGAAAATAATCAAAATGATCGAAAGAATTCAAATAATACATCCAGGGAAGGTAAAACAATTAATTTCGGTAATGGTTAGTTTACTAAAAACACATTTTTTTAATCATTTCTCTTCTTCTTGAGTATGAAAATCAGTTGGAATTTTGACATGTTTAAAATTTTATCTCATGCAAAGAAACAGTTCGTTGAAGCTTTTCTATTAGAATAGATATACATGACTTTTATCTGAATGCTAGTCTCGGATTGTTCACAAGTGCCATATTGATTTTGAATTTTCTGTAAGAATTATGCATGTATTTTTTTTACGTAAAAATTGAATTCATTTATTTTTAGAATGAGTTTTATATACAGAGAAGTCCATAAGTAACTAGACGATAAAAGTACTCAATTTGTCGAATTGGTTTTTTTCTTCGCGAAATAAGAGTGACAAAATTTTTATTCAGAAGAAAATTGTCAAATACTTTTTTGTGTAGAACTATCACTATTAAACTCAATAAAGAAATATACGACTGGTTGAAAGTATCTACCTTCGATTTTTATCATTCTTACGGCTAAACATGTGAAAGTTTTATCGTATATACTATCTTAAAAATGTAGGTAAATAAGGCCAATCAACTTTCGATCATTCCAGTTGACAAGAAGCTCTGACGTATAATAGCTCTTCTCACAAGGAGTTCTTTCACTTCAGAAGGAAAGAATCTTAGAACCTAGTCAAGCTATCATTATGTGAAATATCCGTATTAAACAATTGCATAATGATAGGTGCGTTGAGTCATGAGCTTCTTGCTTTTTTGAATTATAGTACTCATAATTAGAAGGGTAGACAAATATTATAAATCCTCTTCAATTTCAGCGAATGAAACTTGACTGGTCTCATTAACATACATCTCTAAGATACTATATAGACTAAAAACTTCACATGTATAAATTCAGGAATGGCTGAGATCTTAGCTTGAATTACTTTTGGTCAAAAGGGTGTGGTGTGAGTGTTGATGAAGTTGACAGAATCTGTTTGTTTTCGAAACCTTGATATTTCGATCCGTGCGCATCTTTCGTATATGCCTTAAAATAGAAACAACTAAAAGATCTGTTATTTTCACAACAAAGTATTTTTCTTCATGCCTATATCTGTAGGAAGTTCGAATTTAAAAATTCGAAAATCAATTCTTCTAGTATTTCTAAGCGAGATGATGTCATTCTACTAAAAAAATATCATATGTATACAATACGTCGATAGCAATAAGTTAAGAGTTTGAATATAGTTTTCGCATGCTAGTTTTCCACATTTATAGAATTGATTAAGAAAATAATATTTCCATGTAGTACTTATCAATACAATGTATGCATCACTACCATCCAATTGAAAATAATCTCATCGATTAGCATATTTTTAATCTTATTTGCATGAGCTGATATAATGTTTTCTACTCTAATTATTCTTTGATGCTAACTTTAAACAGATAGACAAGTGTTTTTAAAACATATTTTTTTTGTTGTTTAGACTTATACGATGAAGAAGTACACGACAATATAAAAGCCAATGATAACGGATTACGTAAAACCAGCGAAGCGTGAATCATGTCAAACAATAACATTTTATTTATTATTCTTTGGTGCTTTTTGTCCTTTCGTTTTAAATTATCTGCGCACTGATCAATCACTATAATTTGATAATCTATGTAATGCACATTGTTCGCTTGTTTTTTATACGCTTTTTAACAAAATTCTCTTTATTTATTTCGTATTATACAAACAATTTTAAGTTCAATTCATGTCCGTTGAGCTCATATTCAGATGAATAAAAAATAAATAAAATTGTGTGCTATATCGACTGTCTTATTTCTATATTGATGCATCAAAACATATTCTTAGAGAAAAATTCATCATGTTCTTATGCGTTCGCTTCTTTTTTTGTGTATAGTTCTTTTTCTATCTGTCGCTCTCTTTTCTTTTTCTTGCAACAAATCATTCTTGTGCGAGTGGTCGCACTCTCTGTGCACATACGGTGTGTGTGAGGATGTTTTTTTTGTTCAAATGATGGATGATGATTATGTTTTTTCTTTCTTAAAAAATATATATTTTTGCTTGTTGTTACCTTTCAACTTTTCATAAATAATGAGAAATTCATAAGTGATAAGTCAGCTATTATTTGTGATAGTTGTTTAACTGAAACTCGTCATTTTACACAAGGACAGTCGGTTGAATGATGAAAACAAGATAGATTTGTTTTTAGATGAATATGATGAAGAATTACGGCATGCAATATTATGTATCTAAATGATTGTGAGTGAGCATCTATATGATTGATATTTAGTGAATGTAGGTTCATCTACGTTTGAGCAATTTTTCGTTAATTTCACAAACTAAATTCTCAATGTTATAATATTGATAGTTTTGATAATAAATGAGAAACTTTGACAACTGACTTTGACTTCATGCTCATCAAACGTAATTTCATCAAACTTTACCTTAAGTATAAAGTTATGAGACAACCATTTGAAGTTACTATCGAATCGTTGTATCCATTTTCCATCTTTTTCAGTAATTATCAAGCGATTTTTGATACCTTTCACTGCCATACGTGTGGCAAAACCGATGTCGACCTCCTTCACAAATTCGTCACCATATTCACCATGAATCTAACCACAATCAGAAAAAGAATGACTATTAGGAGAGTTTAATATCCAAGTTCAATCTATAAACTTTCTCAGTCGTTTTTGACTCATTGAATACTGCTATAGCTTGCAATATGTTTAAATCTACCAGTATGAGTGTTAGCTAAAAACAACATCTCGCGTTTCATACTTTCGAGTCAAAATGAACGTGATTAATCGGATATACTTAATTGTTAACAATTCTTCCTTTTCAATCAATATTGAAAATATCCAACAATCAATGTTCAACTGAAAACGTATATGAATCTAACTATTTCTCAACTTTTAATAAAAGGCTTCAAATCCAGCAAATCGAATTCATGTAATATGAATCAATTGGCGAATACATCTGCAGTATGTGGTATCTGGGTGAAAATGTGAGAGAAACATCATTGGCACATTCTTCTAAAGTAAAAGCGACGAAGAGATTGAATAGTAGGTTGTAGTGAGAGTGACGGCGTCTCGTTTAAAAGAGCTAATATGGCTCTTCAAATTCTATTGACTTTGGCAAATCGAACATTTCGTTTAATAATTGAATTTATTTCAATTAATGAATACTATGTCTAATAAAAAGTATTTTCGCTCTGGAAATCTCATCAAGATAATCCATTTCGAAAAAACATTCATAGAAAATTTTTCAATTTTTATTGCTTTTTCATATGACCTACATAGAAGTCAAAAACGAATAAAAATTTCATTAGCTAAACACTAATTATTAATAGCTACTAATTAATTAGTTATTAATTAATTTTCCAACATAAGAACAATTAATTTTCACCAAAAGGCAACTCATTGAATTCTTCTTCAAATAGTATATAAAACAATTCCAAACTATCGTAAAATAATGAAAAAATCAGCTAGATACTAAGAAGGTACTAAACTTTTTTTCGTTACGTTAGGTACATGATTGCTCAAGAACATCGATATAGTCCACTCTGTTATGTTTATTTCATATATTCTATTCAAAGTCCACGAAATTTAAAAACAGTTGAAAATATCAGTCTTTTCAATCAGTAACGTGTCTAAGAAAACTTAAATTTTTTATTTCTAACATTATCATCGACATTAACTCGACAATGATTAGTAGGTATTCTCGCAAAGATGAAACTTTATGAATTGTTACCATTGTATCTTTAGACAATTCTTGAATTGTTTCTTCAAATATTTTCAAACAACAACAAACACATACCGATAAAACATTATCGATAAATAATAATTTATAAAATTTATATCGAAAACGGAAACCAGTTCATCGAAAACTAATAAAAGAGTATCCATAGTAGCAAAAGCACTATTAAAACATGTTTCTGAATACGATTGAATACTATGGGACACTATATTGTTGATGACGCTTAGTCATACAAGATACAATTGTCCGAATATTCGAAAACACTTGTTGCGCCATATCACAATTCACTTTAATTTCATCGACTTTTTTTTTGTTGTAAATGTGTGCTTCAGCTGTTTATTGGTATTGTTGATGGGATATCCAATTGTAGACCATAAATCTTTGAAGGTTGATTTCATACGATTTTCATTATCTGTAACTACAATTGTATGATTATCCAATATTAAACAATATTCAATTAATTTAGCATCAACGGATTGTCGACTAGCACTATTATTTTTTCGATCGTATGAATAACAACCAAGAATAAAATTTTGCAACCATCATTGCAAATTCATATGACAAAGTGTAATGCCATGGAAATTAATTCCTAGAATGAATATGAAGTACCAGTTTTAATCTGCATTCTGTATATTCAGGTTCCATTTTTATTATTAAAACTGACATAAGTGATTTAAAAATGATACCTTATTCGAATAGGATCCCGTCGAGAGGTCTGCAAGCATTGTATTCCACTCCATAGCCTTACAAAGACTAATCAATTAAGATTTCCTGTAGCTAAACATTCTGTTGACATTTAGATTGATCTCAAAAAATTTGAAATCATTTATGCCAGCTTGATTTGTCAACGGTCTTATCTACTACCGTGAAAGTTTGGTGAGACATTTACAATATTAGCATTCGACATATTGCATATACTTTTACCAGCATCAAATATTGCTTGAGCTGAATTCACAAAAAAATATCATTACATAAGGAATGCAATGAATGATGATCCGAAACACTAAATTCAGTGCATACAAAAGTAATTTTTTTTATTTATTTTTCTTGAAACTGGTAATGATATTGTATTACTGAAATACCTGTTTATATTTTTATGTCTATTACTGTAATTCACAACTGTTGCACACGGTTTCTGGTGGTTTATCATACTACTAGTACCATTTGATATGTATGGCATAAAGCATCTTTGCAGTTATCGCAAGATACATATTGCTGTTTATGATTCTTTTGCTATCTGTAACTGACGTTTGTCCAGATTTGTGATGATGTTGATGGAGATTTTACAAATGTTAT